CATTAAACTGTCCCTGGAAGCCACTGGTACTTCATTCAACACAGCATGAAGGCCCAGTACACCACAGGGCAAGTATGGCATGACAGCATATCTGACTAAAGAGGAACCGAGTAGGGTGACCATGCTTTAAGGTGACCTTTCCCCATGAAATCCTTCTCTCTTTAAATCAGGGGTTACATTAATCAGAATTCTCTTGTGTGCTTTTTCTTTCTTTATTTATTTTCATTTGTTGTTGTAGTTTAAATGAAGTTTTACATTTCAAGTTAGTCTCCACACAAAAATTTATACACTGTTATGTGACCCTAATTGCTCTCCCCATACTGTGACAGCACACTCCTCCTTTCCACACCTGATTTCCCATGTCCATTCAACCAGCTCCTAACCCTCTCTGCCTTCCCGTCTCACCTCCGGAAAGAAGCTGCCCGTTTAGTCTCTTGTATCTACTTGAGCTAAGAGGCACACTGCTCACAAGTATCACTTTATGTCCCACAGTCCAGTCCAATCCCTGTTTGAAGAGTTGGCCTTGGGAATTGTTTTAGTTCTGGGCTGATAGAGAATCCGGGGGCCATGCTTTCCAAGGTTCCTCCAGTCTCATTCAGATCATTAAGTCTGGTCTTCTTACTAGAATTTGAGTTCTGCACCCCAACTTTCTCCTGCTCCATCTGGGACTCTGTTGTGTTCCCTGTCAGGGTGGTCATAGATGGTAGCTGGGCACCATCTAGTTCTTCTGGTCTCAGGCTGATGAAGTCTCTGGTTTATGTGGCCCTTTCTGTCTCTTGGGCTAATACTTTCCGTATGTCTTTGGTATTCTTCATTCTCCTTTACTCCAGGTGGTTGGGACCAAGTGATGCATCTTAGATGGGCGCTTGGAAGCTTTTAAGACCCCAGACGCCACTCACCAAAGCAGGATTCTTGTGTGCTTTTGCAAAGTGGACACATGCTAACTTCAATCTTGGTGATTCTCTTTCAATGGATCTATAGTGGGGCCTTCCCATACGTGCTTTTAAAATGTCTCCCAGGCGATTCTGACGTATAGCTCTGGTTAAGCACTACTGCACTAAACAAAATTTTTTACCGTGAAGACATGCCCCATTTGAGATGGGGCAGTAAGAAAAGTGCGCGGGGTATCTTTCATGCTCATACACTTAGAGTTCTTTGAGAATCCTAAAACTTGCAAATCTGAAATTCAGGACAATTCTGGGTTTACTCCATTTGTCCATTTATATTTATCTCCGGTAAGAGCCATATGCATATCCCACACTCTCAATGACCACTTTAACAACATCAACTAAGGTTTTTTTCTCTTTACTTGAAGGCTTTTTTTAAAAAAAAAAGAAACTGAATTTTAATCAGCTCTCAAGAATTACTTAATATATATGAAAGTACAAAAGCAAAACTGACGCTGGGCTGTTGGCTATGCTCCCTCACTGGCTTTGTGGTAAGGTCCAGCCTGACAGCACCTGGGTGAACTCAAATTCACAACCAGGGAAAACGGAAAACTGGGACATGTCAAAGACAAGCAAATGCCAAGGCTCTGTTGTGTTTAAGAGTTCACTGTGTGTAGAGTCCGATAGGGGTGGAAGAACAAGCAGCATGAGGAAGCCAGGAGAATAATGTGCACATCATTAACAAGCTTGTCAGAAACATCACAGGGAAAACACACAAGTAATTGCTACGACAATAATAGTAGTAACTGGCGGGCTCCAACTAAGAAGGCTTCCTAAAAGAAGGGAATTTTAAGAAGATGGTTTTAGAGAAATACATACATCCACTTACACACATATACACGCACGAACATATATACATTTTTTACAAAAACATTGTTATGGGAGGTTTCCCGAAAGTTTCTTTATCTGAGACTCATTCCTATCTTGTTTCCAGTTATATCCTCAGTGACAGAACATGGTAGGTGCTCAATAAACACTCACTGAACTGAATTTTTAATGTTTCTGGGAAGCAGTGTGATGACCCTGGCTGAACCTAAGTGCTAATTTCTGCTCTGACATCTTCTAGCCATGTGACCTTGGGCAAATTACCAATTACTCTTTTTCTTTTTTTAATTAATTTTTTATCATGCTTTAGGTGAAAGCTTACATAGCAAAAATTAGTTTCCCATTCGACAGTTTGTATATAAAGTGTTCCATGACATTGGGCACATTCCCCACAATGTGTCAGCACTCTTTCCATTTCCGCCCTGGGATCATTTCCTTTTGTCTGCATTTTCTACCCCTTCCTGCTTTCTATTTGTGCTTTTGGGCAAATGTTTTTCTTTTGATCTTATATAATTGATTGTTCTAAGGAACATGTTCCTCTCGGGTGTTATTGTTTATTTTATGGGCTTGTCTATTGTTTGGCTGAAAGGTGGTCTCTGGTAATGGCTTCAGTTCCAGCTCAGAAGGGGGTCTTAGGGCAATAGTCTCAGGGGTTCCTCCAGTCTCTGTCAGACCAGTAAGTATGGTCTTTTCTGTGAATTTGATTTTTTGTTCGACATTTTTCTTCACTCTGTCCGGGATCCTCTGTTGTGATACCAGTCAGAGTAATTGGTAGTAGTAGCAGGCATCATCTAGTTCTTCTGGTCTTGGGGTTGTGCAGGGTGTAGTTCATATGGTCCATTAGTCCTTTGGACTAATTGCTCCCTTGAGTCTTTGGTTTTCTTCACTCTCATTTGCTTTGGACAGGAAGAGACCAATAGTTGTATCTTACACAAAGAATAAAACCACATACACACCAAACCCACTGCTGTTGAGTTGATTCCAACTCATAGTGACCCTACAGGACACAGTAGAACTGCCCAATAGAGTTTCCAAGGAGTAGCTGGTGGATTCGAACTGCCGACCTTTTGATTAGCAGCTGAGCTCTTAACTACCGCGCCACCAGGGCTCCAGTTATATCTTAGATGGCACCAATTACTCATATTGTAAGGATTAAATGGGATAATTATGAGGAAGTACACACTTAAAATGTCCCTCCCCTGCTCCAGCCCCCTTCTACCCTCTTTCATTTTTTATTTATAAGGATACTATGCAGACTGTTGCTGGCAGTTAGAGCATCAGGTTAACTTAAGACCTTTGATCCAAGGAACTGAGTTCACATGCAACCAAAGGAGATAATAATTGAGTTTCTCTCACTACTTCTAGGCAGAACAGACTTCAAACTATATCATCCACATAGGAGAACCATTCTTGACAATCTCTCCAAAGATAGGCTTTCCACACTCTCTCTTAGGTATACAAAAATGACCCATTTATAATCAAACTGGTCTACTTTGTGCCTTTTCTACCTTCTACTGAGATATAAACACATTTCTGCTTGGTGTGCACAGACTGAGGCCTGATGGACTTCCTGACAATTAAATCGTCTTTTTGCTGGCTGTTTTCCTGAAATGTGGTGGCCATACTGAAAACACACACACACACACCCATAGTTTCCTCTTTATAAATACCTAATTTGTTGGGTAAGATTTAAGTTACTTTTTCTGCTTTAAATTCTGCTGTGTAGACTCTGGCAGCTGCCTCTATAGTAAAGAAACAAGCTTTTGTCTTCACTAGAACAGGGAAAATTGGATTTTACCAGGTATCAATCTTAGCTGTTATACACACACACACACGCACAGAAGTATGCTAATCATTTCTATTAATTTAGTCCTAAAATAATGGTGTGTAATTAACCCTTTTCATTGAGAATGTTCTGGAAGCACAATGAAACTATTTATGCCCTGTCATCAGCCCTAAGAAAGTGCTCAGATGTTTGACTGGACAGTATGGCTGTGTATACCGTATGGCCTCCACTGAGGAGGGAGACGTAAAATACAAAGGTTAGTATTACCATGCAGCAGTCAGAAAAAGCCCTTGGGGTTCCTGGATATGTAAACGCAGATTCCACAAGGTTTTTAAGAGGTCTGATTTTTCCACAGATGAGAGCATGTGGCGGGAGGTGATGTGAATGGTGTTCAAACTTGTCATTGCCACACCAGTTCTTGCCCCTACAGGCTTACAGCAGGAGGTGTTTCCTAAAGATAGCCAGCTAAGATGCTGGTGAATGACACTCCCACTTCTGCCTGCCAGGAGGAACTAAAAGCAAATACCACAATCTGTTGTTTATCATCTTTTAAAGGTGTG